GAATAGCTACCCCTCAAATGATTGTCTCCCCAAGCATCCTGTTGGTTTAACCTGTCAGTCACCCACTCCCAAGGCCACTGGAGCCACCGATAAATCCTTTGTGTTCAAGAAATTGGAGCGCACAATCGCACTTCAAAGTCTTCAAGCTACTCTCCTTTGCACACCTCCTTCTGCAAATGTAAATATTCTTGCTGGCAACCTCCTGGCAACCATCTTCTCCAAAATGTATTTATCTATTTGACAATATTTGTATGCCCTCCCTGCCTCCTGCATCTTAGAGGCACAGTTCTGAGCAACTCGCAACAACAGTAAAACCCCAAACAGAGTAAAAATCAGAAAAATAAAAAGTAAAACCATCTTCTCCAAAATTCCAGCAAGGGGGAGAGCAATGGGGCCTCCTGTATTGGTCAGAAGTGTGTGTGTGGGGGGGTCATTTATTTATTGGACTAGAAGACCTCCAAGGTTCCTTCTAACCTTATCATTGCATGATTGATGTATTTGTGTATTTATTTGTAATATTTGTATGGCCGCCCATCTTAGAGCACAGCTCTGGGTGGCTCGCGGTAACACTAAAACTGTGTAAAAACCATAAAAGCCCAACGAAAACCATCTTCTCCAAAATGTATTTATTTATTTTAAAACACATGTATGGCCGCCCACTTAAAGCACAACGCTAGGTGGCTAGCAACAACAATAAAACCGCAAACCGAGTAAAAACCATAAAAACCAAACTAAAACCAGGTGCCACAATCATCTGGATAGCATCTTTTGTAGATGACCCGTAAAGAAGAAATAGATGCTATTTTCTTTTCTTTCCTTTGCATGTTGCAAAAGGCTGATCTGGAAAGACTCTCGCGTTCCACCGCCGGTTCTCCCCTCCTCTGCCGGCAGAAATGAAATCCCTCGGAAGCACAACCACTAGCAGCCACATTTTTATCACTTCTCACCACCTGCCGCCATTGTCCTTTGCCTTCCCCGCCTGCGGGTGATTCAGCAAAATCTTCCTGGAGGAGAAAAACAGGCCTCAAAAGAAGCAAATCACAATGGCAGATGACCGAGAGGAAGCCAAGGAAAATAGCAACAGGGCGCCTGGTTCCCTGAAGCACAAAACTTATTAATATCATTTCTCCGTATTTCCTCTTCCCTGAGCAATGACATACAGGCATTGTCAAGGGGGTGGATTTGGATGGGAAATGGAACTGAAGCATGGAGATTTAGAACCAGAGAAGGACATTTTCTTTCACCCAAGGTGCTGGGACTTCATCGGGAGAAGTCACTCCCGCCAGACGTGATGACAGCTCCCATTTTAAATGGTCTGATGACAAGCGCTTGCTAACTTGGATAGGACTAGTCAACCCTTGGATGGGAGAATTCCAGCAATCCCAAGGCGGTGGGCTAGACTGGAAAACTGAAAAATAATCAGAAGGCAGCAGTGACAAAATTCTGCCGCGGATCAGGCCTGAATGCTAGTGACTCTATGGGCAAAATTATTCATTCATTCATTCATTCAATTTGTCCCCCGCCCATCTCCCCCCAACGGGGGAT